CAAAATGCGCTTTATATTTTAATACTACATCATATTTTCAAAAAATCAACATCTTAATTGTAGATATAAGATATAAGTACGACTATCAAATCGTACGAAATTTATGATTTTTTGGAAAGCGATGATACTGGTGCATTATCATTATCAGAGTACACATTCACACAATATCTCCAACATCGACTACGCATTGTGAAAATTTAGCAGAGATAAGCTGACGACCAAGTAACCTGATATGTCTTGATAACAAAGCAGCTTTTTGAGTTCTGATTTTGTACAATAAATGTACGTGTTTAATATATACGTATGTAGGTATATTCAATACACATCGAAAATAATGAAAGACACGGCGATAACCCGTAAACCTCCTGGTAATTAAATTCAATACATGTATTTCCTTTATCATTTTATTTTATCATCTGATCTATTTTTACTATATTTTCGTCCTTTTTACGTTGTATAAATACAAATATGTCACAAGCAACCGTTAAATAAAAATGTACACGTTAAAAATATAAACATTATTAGAATTTCTACTTTTTAATCAAAACATTTATTTAGCTTATTAATATATAGTATTATATTAAGTTCACTGAATATAACTTTCAACACAATACGAAAAAAAATTTAAAAACTGATTGGTAGATTGAAAAATATTAATATTAAATTGATTCTATTAATTTAATAGAGAAAAGGATATCCAGAGACATTACCGGATATCTTCTCTATGCGGAGTGGTGAGTTTTCCGAGTTATAGCTTTTCCGTACATTAAATATATTTCTGAAATAATAACAAAAGTACCGAATAGAGACGAATTGTTAATAGGCTACAGATGTTTAAATAGATCAACCAAATTTATAGCAAGATATGGATTCTATAAAATTGAATAATAACGTAATTTATAAGATAAATAATGCAGATACATGTCATACATCGATCAAACTAAAAGGAAGTTAAAAAGTACGGTTGGTAAACATAGAAAAAATATTAATCAGTATATGTCTAAGCATTCAGCTGTCACGAATCATATTTTAACAATATAACCGTAATTTTAATTGTAACAATACAACAAGAATTTCGGAACTAAATTATTATAAACAACTAATTTCAAGAATAATTAGCATTAACATAATTTCTACTTAGTTTATTAATTCACATTAAACCTCAAAGTATAATTTTAATGACACTAACAATAAATTGTAAGACAATTTTTCTTTAAATTTACTTAAAAGACCGATGAGAATAAGCCATTTACGACCAAGCCGGATATTAAATGCTTCTATTATAACTTTCAAACTAATGAACTACCGCAGTACTATCACGAGTTAAATTAACAATTTTTTGATGCTCACTGCATTTTGGATCTTAATAATTGAATGACATATTAAAGTCTGTGAATGACATATTAAAAATCTGTAAATAATTTAAATATATTGCAAAAAATATTACCTCGGCCGGGAATCGAACCCGGATCGCTTGCTTTACGCGCAAGACCTTGCAAGTTTGCGTTGTAAGTCTGAAAAAATTGCGGCGCGCATTTAGAGATCTACATACGTAGTATATAAATTCACACGAAAATTATAACAGAAGCATTCAATATCTAGCTTGACCGTAAATGGCTTATCTCATTGGTATTTGAAATTTCACGGTCCAAATAAGAGTTTGTTACTTAAAAGAATTTCTAACTATGACTTATTGAAATTTATATGATCATCTATAACGTTTCCATACTATCTCGAATTGTGTCTTTTTCTTGAATTTTCTTTGTGTTCAGTTTAACAATACAGTGGAACTTCTCTAGCTTCCTTCAGTTTAACAATATAGAACTTCCTTAGGTTAACACTCTATAACTTCTTCATTTCTCTTCATTCTTATATACATATTAAGGATGCACCAGATCGTAAAATTATCGAATATCCGGGAAGGTACGTTTTTGAGTCGGATATCCGATATTTTCCGAATATCTGACCGGATTCCGGGACAAGTTCAGCTGAAAAGAATAGAAGTCTACATCAATGACATAAACTTTCAATATAAAATTTCAGTCGGATATATTACCGGATACTAATGATATCCAACTATCCGATCGGATAGATAGCAACAAAGTACCGGATAATGCCAAATATCGGATATCCGCTGCATCCCTAATACATACGAACATCCTTTATATTTTTTATTTCATGTTGTTTATTAATATGTATTATTAGATATTAGGTGCAAACACAAGCAAATAAATGTAAATTATGTCATTACTATATATGCTGTATTTTAAAAGATGCAAAGTATGTGGGCATATCTATTATCCTCTTACTGTTAAAATAGTACGTTTATATATCATTATAAATACAGTTTTCAATTATTTAGATATCGTTAATTATTTCGTTGTGATGCATTTATTATTAACACTAAGTTTTTAGGTATCTTATGCGTCAAAGAGAGAGTTTCGTCTCCTACCTGCGCGATTGTTCTTGTTGTGGGAAGCGTTGCAGCTCGAAGGCCATACTGAGCAAATGAGTAGCAGATGTGTGAGAAAGAGATACCGAGGAGAGAAAAGCAAAGGATGTGAAAGGAAAAAGATTAAAGATGAAGAAAAAAGAATGAAAATTAAATCAATTTTTCCACACGCGCATAAGCAGAAAAACTATAATATATCCAATTAAAGTTAGGCTAAATTGACCATTTTAAACAACTTGCTGAAATATGATACTCGATATAAGAGAGTTTCGATATATTATAACCAATGCAGATACACTATAAAAGACTGTACTCACATAATAGAATACGTAGCGTAGAGAAATTCGAGTAGGACTCCTCAAAGTGTCGAACTCAAATGGCACTTATAACACATTCATTGCACATATAACACGTCACTTCGCTTCTTTATTTTATCACATTACGTATGTATATACGAGGGGATGTAAGCTAAGAAATCATAAATGTAAGTCCCCTAAAGAGAAAAGCGTAAAGGAGTCACGAATATCCGAACAACATCCATTTAACCTCACCTCTCGCAAAAGCGCAACTGATTGGTGTGTCCTCGTTACACTCTCTACCATTCGTCACTACTGACACATACGCGCGCGCGCACCATACACATACGCATACATCTACACACACTTCTCTCCCCCACCCCTTACTCCTCTCTCTTACCCTTCCTTACTTACTCCCATCTTTTCCTCATATATTTCATTTTTTCCCTTTTTTAAATTCCCCTCCCTCCCTCCCTCCCTCCCT